GGGGGTGCGGGGCCGGGGCGGTGCCGGGACGGGGGCACGGTGCCGGGACGGGAGCCGGGGGCGCGGTGCCAGGCCGGGGGCCGGGCCGGGGGCCAGTGCCCCAGGGCCCGAGCCAAGCCGGGTGGGAGACGCCGGGCCCAGAGCCACTTGGCCTGGGCTGGCAGGCCGCCACAGGGAGCCGCTCAGCCAGGGGGGCCGGACTGGGCCACGCTGCACCCCGCCCCAGCTTACCTGCTACCTCCCTGTTTCAGGCTTCCCGTGAACATTTGATTCGTGGGAAGCAGGGGAGGGGGAGGAGCAGGGGGCGGAGCGTCCAGGGGAGGGGCAGAGTTGGGGCGGGGAAGGTGCGGGGCCGGGTCCCCATGGAGTGTCCTCCTTTTTAAAAATTAAAAGATGGTAACCCTATAACTCATACAATTATTAAATATTTTTCAGATACTGATGTAGAATCAAAACTACTGCAATATATTATTTGTTTTAGAAAGCAACAATCTAATACCTAAAAATTACAGTATATATTCAGCTACAATTATAAGACTTATATTACAGTAATTAAATATTTAAGGGATGCTGTTTCCATTAATTCTGTAGAACTTTCTTATTGGGTATTTCAAGGGTAAAGCGCGTTCCCATAAACTCTCACTGAGATCAATAGGAGCTGCTGAGTAGTCAGCACTTCTGAAAATCAGGCCATTTGTTTAGGTGTCTAATTATGGATTTAGGAGCTAATTTTATGCTTCTAGTTTGAAAATTTGGCCTGTGAACATAACAAAATTAGAACAGTTTTTCTATAACAATTTAAGACCAGTCACATAATTAGACACTCCCCATACAATCTCCACTTAATAGATCTAAACCCACAATATTAAAAACAGTGACTATAAATCAAACCCACTATAGTCCATCACCTCCCCTGGGGTAAAATCCTAGCTTTACTGTAGTCAATTGCAAAACTTCCATTGACTCGAATGGAGACAGGGATTTCAACTTTGATGTCTCAGAGAGGAAAAACGTGGGGTTTGTAGAGTCTATCCCAAGCAGAATTTTATATTAGTACTGATTCAGATTTAGTTTGCATCTTCCAATTTTTAGAGAGAAAGTGCTCATAAAAAGGCATGTGTGGTACACTTGTATCAGCTATTTTAAAAAATATTGTTCCTGCTTTGTATCAATGAAATATTTTGTTCATTTCTAATATACTTGACACTTGGTTGGATCATATCAGAAAATGGTACAAGACAGCATACTGCTGAAAGGCTCCAGGCACTTGAACTTTTCTAGAACTCTTTTTTTTAAATTTAATAGAAACAGAAGTTAACAAATACATCATGAATTTACATACGCTCACATCAGTTATTTGTTATGTAGAGGAAATTAGGGCTATTTTGTTTCAGTTATTTTAGATGGAGCATTTTACTTTCCTACCAAGCACTACCTATGTATAATGCATGTTCAAATTCATTTGAATAAATGACACTACTTCGTTTTAACTTGCCTAGATAAAATCACTTTTTTTTAAATCCTCTCATCTCTAATTTCATACTAATAATGAAATCCATGATCCCTTCCACAGAAAATCACTGACAACAGACTTCAAATGTACGTGTATGCCAACTGATATTTTGCTCAAATTTATCATCTATGGACATTCTTACTGATAAAACATCTGATCAGAAGCCCATGGAAGTTAACAGAAGTCTTTTCTTTGACTTCAAACCGGTTCTGGATCAGGCACAAAGTGGGCTTTATTTTCAAATTATTAATGCTTCTATTACTTTATTTTACAGTTTAACAAAACTGTGAATCCCTTACCTGTATGTCCATTCATAGCAGCAGAATACAAGGCAGAATAACCATCTTCACAGAAATAATTAATGTCCAATCCTTCTTCATTAAGCAGCATTGACAATAAAGTGACATTTCCCTGGGCAGCAGTTTGGTGAAGAAGGGTGGGCCTGCCACCCAGGGGGACAGGACCACCACTCGTTAACAAAGGGGTTAGGGAGGGAGACCAGCCTGCGAGTTAAAGCGACAGATGTTAGAGGGAAGACACATGAATAAATTAAGGCTGTGCATTATTTCCGAGCTATTAAAATATATAAAAGAAAACCTAAACAGATTCATCAACACTATAGGGTCTGTTAAGGTTTAGCATGAGTCTTGTAATGTTATTTTTTTCCCCTACCTCAAAAGACAATTAAAATCACACACAGTGGTAAGAAGTTATGTTCATTGTTAACTCAAATTAATAGGATTCTATCATCATGGGTTAACACAAATAAAAACTTTGGGAACATCACAAACAACTTCCACACTCCAAAATTTCTGACATTACAACCTTATACAATTCTGGCTTTATTTTAATTGTAGCTAAATCGAAAATTATTCCAGATATATTTTCATATAAGTAGGTGCTTTTTATTTTCATCTGCAAAGTTGATTTTTCTTCAAAATCTTAACCTTATAATAATATTTAAACCTGAAAGAGTATCATAGCCAAATAAGATAGAAAAATTGGTTCAAAGTGCTTCAGTTATACTTTAAAAATAAAGAATTAACAAGAGGACAGCTCAACATAAAGGTTTGCAGAAGCCCTGTAATATACATATTTGTTGTTGAACTTTGCCTTAATATATATGTTCATTTTACTCAGCAGTACTGTGATTTCTATTTTATTTTGAGACGAGCCAATGTAGAATAAGTAGCTAGTTACATCAAAATTACTGATAAAAGCTTTCAAGTCATCCAATGAAAACGGCAATCTACAAAACAGAGCTTTAGAAATCTTAGGAGTTATCTTGTTAGACATTCCACATATTATTACTTAGCAGCTTTAGAGGAGAGTTTGTTAAATGCATGAAGTCTGCTGCATATAGTATGGAAGACTTTGTGTACTCTTCCTTGATCAAAAGACTGCAAAAGAAAATAAGAAAAGGGATTGAAAAATATAAATGTTAATATGTGTGTGTGTGTGTGTGTGTGTGTCAGACACACACACACACTTTACCCTTTGAAAATGAGAATTCACACCATTTTTCCTTTTTGAATAGATTACTCTATTTACAGTGCATGTATGTGCACAAACACCCTCCTATATGATACTGAAATCTGATCATATAAGAAAATACATAGTCAGATTCCCAGCTAAAACTAACAAAAAATAATTAGTTGGAGCTCTTTTAGAATTGTTTTCAAAATAAGATACTTTTAGCTTGATAATTTCAAAATAAAATACATTTTACTACTATAGTACAGAGAGGCAGCATAATATTTATTTGTAGTACTTTCAGAAAGATAAATTAACTTATTACTCATTTTATAATTTTTTATAAATTGTATAGGCAACTATAAAAAAACACTACCATATATATCAGCAGCCATATCAATCATTTAAAGTTACATGGTATACTACTTCAAATTGAAGGCCAACTTTGAAGTTGTATGAAGATATATCAATAGTTTTACTCTTATTTTTAAAGCGGGCTACGAAAGAAAATCTAGAGGTTTACAAAATAAGATTTATACAATTTAAATTACTTCTCATAAATTCTATACCTTGTGGCTTTTTAGATTACAGAAAAATCCTCTAGAATTATTTTTACTTTACTAAGAAAAATATAAGCCAAACTTCACCTTTTGAGAAGTCAGAAATACTATACATATAAAGTAGAGTTCAGATGTTTGTGAACATTTATTCTTACAAGGTACAAAAGTGACTGAGGAATAATGGAAAGAAAAATAAAATACAATTATGAAAGCTGTTTTTCTTTCCATTGTTTCTGCCTTGTATCATCTTGTAAGCCTAAACTGCTAGTGTAGGTAGAAATTTTGTTTGAACTAACCAAAGGTTTTAATTGACTTTATTGTATTTCCCTGTGTTTTTGATACTGCTTCCTGTGGATATATCTAGTGTGTCAGCATCTCCTTAAATGTTAATCCTCTTTGCCTGAACTTGCTTTTCCATTTTAGGAATTAGTCTTGTTTGTGATGGAATGATTTTTGGACACTGGGAGGTAGGGTGAGTAGGGGGCTTAACACTTTACTGAAAACATAAGGTTCACTATGCCAAGCCATTTTGAAACATTAACAACATTTCTGAGGTTTCTGCTTTTGTTGAAAAGTCGCACAAGATTTTTCAACATCATTAATAAGAATATCAGAGAAAGAATGCTTATTGTGCATTACTGTAAATGGACATCTGGTACCTTTATTCTCATTTTCAGCTTTTCGCGAGGGCAAATATACTGTTGCATTCCAGTGATGAAACGCATTGTGCTAGATTAAGAATGGATGAAAAGCTTCTACTGCATAAGACACACAAACGAAGTAATCACATAAATGCATATTTTAACTTCTGTTGTCATTGCAAAGCAGCATAACAGATTTGTATTCATCCAGGATACTGTATAATAAGGTTAGGAAATATCAGTAAGGTATACGGTTTCATATGCAAAAGTGAAGCATCTGTGACAGCTTGCAGGACATACAGTAATGAAGGGCAGAGGGATAGAAAAACAGCTTCTGGCATCAGCTTCAGAATGTGGAGATGGTTAATTTCAAAGCCCAGATCAATCTCTCCTCACATCCTATTTACCTTCTAAGCCAATCACATACAAAGGAAAAATCAATCAATATTGGAATGAACTGAATAAATACATACTCCGATTGAAGAGTGATGCAAAACCAAGAAGAAAAAGAAAGAAGAAATCCCAGGGGTATGGAAATCCAATTGACTATAATCATTTCAGTTTTAAACACTTATTTCTCTAGGAAGTCAAATCCATGGATATTTAGGAATCAAAACAAACAAGAAACACTAAGAGTATATTTTCACTTTTTCATATACACCTTGTTCAACATACATGACAAAAGGTGGGGGGGTTTTCTCAGCGGTATTTAAAGCTGTAGATATTGTTATCTTGATACAAAAGAACATATTACTGATGCAACTTGTAATCTCCTTTTATTCTATATCAGTTTTTGTTCTTCTTTAGAACCAAAATTTTTCCATCACAGAAAGTGATAATATTCCAATGTTTACAGTGCAGCATTGCTTTAAGAAAGAAACTGACCTAACCAGGCGACTGATTTGCCATTAATGAAAGAAAAAAATTCAGTTAATAGGCTTTCTACCACTCCTCCTGACTTCACAGTAAAAGGAAATGAAGTCATGGATTTACTGACCTGCCAATAAACATCAAATTTCAATCTGACTCTAAAAGCCTTTCAAATATATTAACCAATCCGCTTACTATGTTTTTGAACACTTATAACAAATTCTGACTGATTTTCACCAGCACTTACTGTACAATAAAATACAAACAACATTTCAGCACACTAATTTTTAAATGAGTCAGTCCTTGTTGATGCAAAATAAAAATACTAAACACTCTGTGCAAAGATTAAACAAATAAGGTTTAAATTAAGTTGAATATTACTTTTAATAACTGAATCTCTAGCAATTCAGAGAGTTTGGAAACCTAAATACTATTGTTTGTTTCCAGTAGTGCCTATAACATGATAGGTGCTGTACAAACACTAGAAAACAATCTTTGCCTCCAAGAGTTCAACCTCTAAAAAGGCAAAATAAACAAAGATGGTAAATAAGGGGGAGGGGTTTACAATGAGACTGTCAGGTGGTTACTAACCATATATTGTAAATAAAAAAGGTGTTATTTAAATCTATCCCCATGTACCAAACTAACCACCATCTGTCTGTTTTGCCTTTACTAAGCATAAGCTATTTCAAGGCAGGGACCATATCTTTCATGTTTGTACACCATCCTGCACATAAAGGTTTAGTTCTCTTATAGCATATGCCAAAAATACATGAAGGTAGATTAAGTTCCTTATCAAGTCCCGCATTTAAGGAACACAAACACACACAAGGGGAAGTTTAAAAGTTTAAAGCAAGGGGCTTTGACAAATTCTGTCCCTGCACTGTGTTGCTGGGGGATCACAGGCAAGTCACTCATCTTCTCTCTGACTCAGTTTCTAGGTCTATAAATTAGAGTTATTAGTATTTACCTACCTCTGCGCATTCCAATTTATGGGATATGTTTCCATTGCCACTGAGCTTTAGAAATCTTGTAGAAAGCAGTCCCAGTTACAGTCCCACAAGAGCCCTCTGACCATACCAAACATTCAGAGCAAATGGTCCAAACTCCTTCAGCTCCCTCCACTAAACCTCAAAGTCCTAAACTATAGAATTTGAATTACAAGGGGAAAAGGACATGAATGGTTTGTGATAAATAACCTTTCTTCTTTGAGAATTACCTCTGTATATTCCCACATATAGGAGTTTGACAAGCAATACAACAAAGCAAGGATCATATCTAGATGCCACATTGACTGAAAAGTGCTCTTGAAACACAGGTTAAGAATGCCAGGTAGCAGACTGACAGATTTCTATGCATTATGAAGGTATGCCATCAAAACTGCCTTAGTCACAATAGTGATCCGGAGAGCCTTATGTACCGTCACCTACTTAACATGTAAAACAGCTCTCCATATATAGAGCTGATAGAATTTATATAGAGATGGTTTCTGTCCTACAGACAATGTAAAAACTACATAGATTGTAGTTAATTTCCTTAACAATTTTGTCGTATCAAATAAAAACTCAAGTCTCTACAGTATGGAGTCTAAGAAAGGGCTGGGGGAGTTTTTAGGACTGAGACTGACCGCACCAAAACCTCTGAACCATCCAAATGCTCATCACTGCTAATGAAAGTTCCTGTGCAGCAGAGAGGGTCAATTTTTTTGTCAAGGTCCAAATTTCTTGGTCAAGGTATAATCAAGGTCCAGACTCCAGAAAAAATAATGAAAAATAATAATGATGATGATAATAATAATAATAAGAAGTAGTAAATACAAAGATTTCAGGGTCCTTTCAAAAGCGTCCAGTGGTCCAGATTTGGCCTGCGGTTTGCCTATCGACTACCCCCGATTTATAGGTGTGACTGACTTCTTTTTGGAGAGGTCCTCTCTCCCTGTGCAGTCATGGCCTAGAAAGGGGCTAATACTTGCTATTCTTATGCTGACCTTTTCCAACAAGGGAATATTTGGAAACAAAGATGATGACAGATTCAGCAGTTGATCCAAAGGTGGATCAGTGCCCTGATTCATAAGGCCTTTAACATGAGGAAAATATGGAGCTGCTAAAATGTAAACATCCTCCATGCTAACCATTGGTTAGTGAGGTAGGGAGTGAGCCTCTTTCTCAGAGAAATTAAACAGCAGGTGCATGCATCACACACTCCAGAAATACAAGAGGACACCAAACATACTGCTTAAATGTGAATTTCTCCAGGTGTGAAGAAAGGTGGTTAGGATTGCACTGCTCTTTTATAAACAGTTATAAAATTATTTGGTGCCATGAGAAGGGGATTGAATGGCTCCAGATAGGCACTGTTTTCTAAAAGGTTCAGAAAACTCAATGGCATTGGAGGAACACATACCATCAGAGAAACTATACATAGGCAATTCTCAAAATTAATTCATGTTTGTAGAGCTCTAATATCCTCACGCTTACAGAAGGCCAGAAGTATTATTAAGGAATCTCCCTTTTCTGGAGTATGTCATTATTCCAGAATCTTCTCCGAACATCTGCTCAGAATGGCCAATCTGCTCAAAACATCAATTTTCATTCCCTTATTAAGGATGAAGGCTTCACTAAAATGAAGGCTTCCTTAAAAGGAAACTGACTTATGATCATTGTTAAAAACAAAAAAATTATGAAGCAAGATAAATTCCCATACCCCTGAAACTTGGAAAAAATAATATACATGTAAATTTCCACTTTAAAAAAAGATAAATCAGTTTAGAGAAAAAGCTGTAAAAGATAAATAAAGCAAATGACAGAGCCAGAGAAAAAGACAGAACATTCTTAGAGGGAGATAGTTTGAAGTATATCAATCCCTTTACCTGATGCTGTTGCCAGTAGGCTGTCTGAATCACATGGTCTACAGGATGAAGCACTAATAGGGTTTATGAAGGAGCTACAGGCAATGGTGGTGGGAATGACAAAGGAACTTTCTGAACATGCAGGTTGGTTCAGTCCAGGGGATTGGGAAGGCCAGGCACCCACCTGAGATGTGGCCATGGCTGGTATGGCACAGCCTGCAGATGCCATAGATATATCTATAGTAGGTTTTGGTGGCAGCTGAGGTGAGGACTTAGAAATAATTTCCTCATTTATTACCCTGATTCCTTGTGGTGAACTGGAAGGAGGTGAAATCATGGTTTTGCTGTCAAATTTTACACCTATGTTAGAGGATCGACTACTATCCATAATAACTTTAAGCTGTGGGTGTGGTGGAGAAGGAGTTTGCGAAAGCCCTGGCTTTTTTGGAGGAATAGGTGGAGGATTTCCTCTGTCAATTCTTGATACATTGGGAGTCTTTAAACCCATTCTACCAACTGGGGGATAGGTGCCAACTTCCACTGAATGTGACATTCCAGGCCGCAAAGTAGCACCACCTTGAGGACTTGTAAATCTTGAAAGGACTTGGGTGACAGTATTCCGAGCTAGCTGTTTGGCAACTAGGTTGTCACGACTAGTGGGAGAGACATCCCTTGATGGAGGGCTTTGGGTAGTGTTTCCATTTTGGTCTTGATCATTAGCATTAGCTTGAAATCTAAATCTAGCTGCTTGGACTCGAGGATTTAGGCCTGGATGCACAGTAGTGTTGGCAGAATGTGACTGTAAACTGTGCATAGACGAAGCTAGTGAGTGGTTCTGAGATGCAATACTTGATGCTGGAAAAACGGAGAGGGCAGCATTGCTTGGAAAGGGGGAAGTGCTATTTGTAAAATCTGGTGATGAGCCAGTACTTGGTCCATTTTCCTCAATTCTGTTTTGACTTGGAGTCAGAATAGGAGCTGTGGATGGGACAATCAGTTCACTACAGGAAGAGTGCCTATCAATGACTGGTTTCACAAATGCTGCATTGGCGGATACATTCGTTTTTGTGCTGCCAGAAACCAGAGAGTTCACTGCTGAAGGTTTTACAGGCACAGTCAAAGGCAACTTCCTAACATTTTCAGTGCTAATGTCCGTCGGCATTGTATCTGTCTGACAGGCAATAGTTCTTGAAGCTGGGACTTCTGTTCCAACAGATACTGAAACAAAACCCTTATCTTTATTTCTACAAGTGAGAGAAAGGTCTGGTTTAATGTCATTTTCCTTTTTTAACTGCTCAATCATTTTTCTCATTTTATCTCTCTCTTCTTTGAGGTCACTAGTATGTGCTTCCTCTCTGTTAAGTTTGGCACGCAGTTGCTCCCTTTCTGTGTCAAACTCAGAGAGCTGTTTTTCCATTTGAGCTTCCATTTGTGTACTCCTTTGTTTCTCAGCTGCAAGAGATTCCTCCAATTCATTAGCCTTTTTTTTTTCTTCTTCAAATTTTGACATTATTTCTTCCAGTTTCTGGGCTTCCTCTATAATTTTGCCAGACAAATGTTTACATTCTTTCACTAACATCAATACTACATGTTTATTCTTGCCACGTTCTTCTTCAAGGCGAGCAGACAACTTCTTATGCTCCAGCTCAAGCATCTGTAACTGAGACTTTTCCATTTCCAACTGAAATAAAAATGTATAGGTAAAGTCTCATTAACGTATGAAATACAGCTTTTCAACATGGTACGTTATTAACAGGACATTGTTGTTTCAATCTTTTAAGAACATGATGTATTAGTTAAGCAAATTCCAGTATTCTACCATTAGATATAAGCTGAGATACAAAATGTTGGAATATTTGAGGACAAAACCAAAAAATCCAGAAAAAAATTAATTTAAAACCAAAACTGATTTTCTTCAGTTACTCACTCAAACGAATGAGGGGAAAAATGATTTCGGTTTCAAAAAACATCCAAAGCGAAAAAAACAAAGCAAAACTAAATGTACAGGGATTTTGTTTAATTTCCAGGGTGTTGTGTTATCCAAAACAAAATTTTATGAATTTTCATTTTGCTTCATTTTCTGATGGCTTTCACCCTTTTTTGCCTTTTTTTTTTTAAATAACATAAGATTGGCCATACTGGGTCAGACTACAGGTCCATCTAGCCCAGTATCCTGTCTTCCGACAGTGGCCAATGCCAGGTGCCCCAGAGGGAATGAACAGAACAGATAATCATCAAGTGATCCATCCCCTGTCGCCCATATAAATATAGCAAATATACTATTTGCTGAAAACAATGTTACCTAGCTCTGTGGATGGCAATACAATCTAAACCACTTCAGTATTTCCCTATCAGCCTCATATACACGTCAAACAAAAATTGCTAACTAGCACTTCTCATGCTGCAGCGTCCTCTTCCTATGCTGTTTATCTGCACGACTGGCTAAAATAAATAAATATATAAATAAATTCTGCATTCTCTGAATACCCTTATAATTTCTTTAGCTTGACCTTCCTATACAGCTGGAAAGTCTCTTCCTCTCACCCCACCATAATCACCACATATTAAGAGGTTAACCTTATCTACTGTACATGTACAGAAAGAACAAGAACCACCACACTTTTGAAGTGCATTTGCTTGTTTAATATTTTTACTAACTCTGGGAAAATATTTACAGTCAACTAAAAGTCTAGTGCTTGCAAACTTGCAAGCTTCACTCTGACTTCAGTAAGAAAGTTGTTTCTTGCTTCCATCATACTAGAATTTTTCACTTTCCAGCAATTAACAGTTTGCTGCACAGATGGATTAACAGCTGATCTATAGAGGGTCAGGGCAAACAGCAATATACTTTAAATGAGCTCACTTGCAATAACTGCTTCACTTCAGTACTTCTGATTACTACAGAGGAAGGATTTTATGTTAAACTAGATGATAAATAACACTAATTTCAGAGTTGTAAGAAGATACTGTACAGTGAATATATTTCATGTAAACTGTAATCCGGGGAACCAGATGGCCTAGGGAATTGGTAATGGGATATGGAGCAGTTCATTTTTAAATCAGTGGTTTTTGGCCTTGGTTGCTATAAAAAGAAACTCATTACATATGATGCCTTTTGAGTAGCCTGCTGTTACCCAATGATATCCCAGGTCCTCCTCCAGTAGAAGGCTGACAGTTTCTTGGACAGCTTCTGAAATGTTTTTCTTATTCCTGCACGTGTGCTCTCTCTCTCTCATTTTAATTAGACCTATCCACTATTTTGTTTCAAAGGTAATAAATACTATTTTTCTTAGGATAGTTCCTTTAGTCCGCCACTGTTATCTAATATTTAGTGGAAATGAAACTTGCATCATATCAGGAGGGGAACAGGACAGGGAAAAGGACTGCAGGTCAGAAGTTTGATTCTACTTGCTGTCGCTCATTTTTTGGAGGCTACATTTTACCCATTTGGTAAGTCCAGTTCAGATACACAACAGAGAACTCTGAAAAGAGAAGGAACGTTAGGTAAATCTTTTGGAGGGATAATCTTCATGAAATGCTGGTAAAATGATAAGGTTGTCTCAACTGCCCAACATCTTAATTAGCGTTCTCTTACTTGTAAATGTTTCCTCTGCTTTGTTGGGAGGAGGAAAGAGGGCAAAAAATATATCTGGGAAGAGTGGGTGATGTTGATAGGGTGGACCAGAAAAATTGGGATAGAGTGGAGGAGGGGTGGCGGTAATAAGGTCCTATATAAAGACAAAGCCTCTAGTATTGGGACGTCTTATCACCCTAGATGTTGACAACCGTGATAGATGTTTTACATACAGTAAAATTTCCTTCCTGTGCCTGATCATCATGAGGATGATCAAGTTAAAACAAAGTCATTATGACTAACCAAGCTCTTACACTACACGTTTCATTTTGATCTCCCATATCAAAAGAGGTCCTCAGACAACAGTGGCTAAACCTAAAGCTCTAGATTTATGAGTGACAGGAGCCCTATGATGATTTAACAGCAACACCCAGCATCTCACAACCCATCCTGCCCACCTCTATTGCCCCAAACTAGTTTGCTCTTCATTAACAAGAGAGTATTCAGTAGCAATATAAAAAGGATAATAGGAAATCCGAAGGGACTGCTAAGTGAAGAGTAGCAGCAGCATTTGTCAATGATAATACACCAGCAAATATTAATTTACCGTGATTTATCAGATTGCAATTAGGACTGTCCCTGAGACTTCAGTTACAGTCACCCACAGGCAGAAAATCATGCTCCTTGTCCAGCAAAAGACATTCCGTTTGCCATTTTACCACTAAGGAATTAGCACCTTCATGGGCAAATCGCGCCAGCAACAGCTGTACTAATGTTGCTAGTGTGACTGAAGAAAGTCATGGAAAAAGTACATCTGACAGAGTCTGACACTCTAGATTATTTTTCAATGAGAAAGTGGCTCAGTCCTCTGCAGACTACCCTTAATACACTGAGCATTACTTCATGTTTGGAGGGAGATTGGTTTTGTACGTTAACTGAAATAAAACTAACTTATTTTCAAGTTGTTACAGACACAGCTAATAATCTAATATAGCTGAAGTTGCTAGTAACTCAGAATCTTTCAATTGGCACTCTGGAACTCACAGATCAAATTAACATCCAGGGAAAAAAGGAAAACAGCCATCCTTTAATAATAGCTTTTATACAATGAATTCATATACAACTAACTTGTGAATAAGCTGAAGCATGCAGCATTGTCCTCATCAACATTCAAGCTGTAGTATCACCAAGAACCAAGCAAGTTTTACCCAGCTAATACAGCAATACATCAGATTGTCATGCATAGGAATCAACATGCTGAAATGAAGCACGTTTATCATAATGACTTGGCAAAGCATATGTAAATAAAGAAGAAAGTTTGGTTTCAGGTGTCATGCACCTGATCTAATTATGCTGAGCTGTCAACTAGCAGCATCTATTATCTGACCCATCAAGCTAAAATTAGTTCTTAGCTTGCAGCACAGGAATGCTCTCATCCAAGTTTCAAAAGTGTTTGCTTTAGTCCTGCTTCCAAATATTGTTCTCGGCTGAAAGGACTCCACTTTCTTCCCTAGTTCTATTGTAAAATATCTTTATATAAGGCTTGTATCTGAAAGGTTTGTCATCTTCTCTGTGGAAACAACGTTAATAAGCTGGATCAGGCCTGTCAAGCCCCTTGTTAAAAGTAGTAATAGATCAATCTCTAATCCTTTTCCCTGTGAAGATATATCTTTAAAATCAAACTAATGCCAGCTGACTGCAAAGACTGAAAGGCATAGGCAGCTGGGCTCCACCTCTGCATAACGACATTAAGGGAGAAGTGGGAGATCCCCCCCCCAACCACACACACTAGTTTTATACAGAACAATGAATCAAGTAAGCTTAAAATGCATCCCAAAGAATAATTTCATTACCATTCCCAGCAGATGATTTGGGAGATGGGGAACAGGAAGGAATTGGTGTATTTATTGGAAGGAAAGTACACAATTGATGGATTTTTGAGGGGCGGAGGGGTTGAGAGTAGAGTATTTCACTTAAAGAATGCTACATAGTTGCCACATATGTGGAAAGTTTAAGTGGGTACCACTTGTTTGTAATGTAGTGATTGGCTTTTTAAAAAAATTAAGGCTTTGGTTCTCCAGAAGATGATGGCACTTGGCCAGGAAAATTGCCAACTCACCCTCAGCAAGTTGATTTTTCAAGTCCCATTTTCAACTAAATATTCATCTCTGCTCATACTAAATAAAAAGGTGGGATTATAGTGACAATGTCCAGAGAAGTACTGTATATACATTTTAAAGAACACAGTATTTTATTTAATTAAAGTTTAATTTACAGGTTACTGAACTATTTAAAATGGTGGTTGATATAATTCAGATGTCTCTGGAGACTAAAACCAAATGATCAGACAAATTAAGATCTAAGAATTGTTTCTAAAATTATGATTTATTCAACCAAATATTTAAATTCCCTTCTGGGAAACAAACAAAAAAAAATACTGTAGCTATTATAGTTTGGATAAGCATCAAAATTTCACTACTCTGTAGTGAGTGAAAAATTTAAGGCTTTACTTAAGATTACAAATCCTCTGAAATGCAGATTTAGTTATCTTGGGCCACACAGTCAGCTACTTACTCACACTGGTAAGCAGTTACATGAATAGTCCCACTGAAGCCAGTAGGTTGACACTTTAGCCCAATGAAGTCAGTTAAAGAATTTGATCTCGGAGATAAACTTGGAATCTTTTGGAATATTGAGGGAAATGGGGAGAAGAAATTCTTCAAAAATGCTTTGCTGAGTCCACAATACAATTTTTATTAATTTGATACATTTTTCAGTGAATGACATTGCAGCACACAATACTGCATCATTTCATCTTTGTTAGGTAACAGACTACAGCCAGATCCCATTTAGAATGCAGGATTTCATTGGACAGTATAAGGTTCAAAATGTCTCCATAGTTCGTGTTCTAACCAACTTTTAGCTATCTGTTAACAGATGGGTATTTAGATATTACATACTGATAAAATTCTCTCCCCCAAATAAACACTTTGTTGGTGAACAGACGTATGCATTCTCTTGAATAAGTAATGAAATATGACACTAGTACCAGCACAAACTATTACAACAGAATGACTGGAGTTACATTAGCTTCTTTCACTCCATTA